TTCAGTCACTATGAGGGATTGCTGGGAAGTTGACAACACAGAGCAAACAGCTGTGCATGGTGGCCACATGCTCCTCCATGAGGAGTGAAGGACTCGCTGCAGTCAGCTGGGTTTTAGTCATTGGACCCGTTTATTATTTGGTGGCCTTATCTCTGCACGTAATCATAGGAATGACTGAAACGTGTTCAGACACAGAAAGGACATAAACTGACTAAGCAACAAAATATAACGTTTCACCCAGACCATCAGGAAAATCCTCCTGATAATAAATCAAGTTATTTTTTTTCCCCCAGACAATATTCTGTTTTGATTCAAAGAAACTTTGACTCATTTGGATTATCTTGAGGATCTGTGCTCCTTTCATTCTTCATATTGAGGAATTTTAACGTTATCCCATCCTAGTCATCAGAAAAACCTCAACCGTTTAGTTAACATCAGTGTTATGTGCGTCGGGGACATTAATTATTTATTTTATTTTTCCAGGTCCAACTTTCTGTTTATACTTTTTGTCTTTTTCTTCTTTTTTGGACACGGGGAATCCCGGACAAGCCCCCATAAATATGTTACGACCACCCAGGCCACAACATATTTGAGGACATGAGACAAACATGAGGTTCAAAAGAATTATTTTATTCTTAATCTCTGGAATTTCTTTTTAGATCAGGTGTTTTGTTTTTCTGCAAAGAGACAAAAAAAAACAGAGTCAGATTTTTTCCCCAGTTCCCCGTGTCCAAAAAAAAAAAAACAGAAGAGTGCTAGAAGAAAAAGACCCAAAGTATAAACAAAAAGTTGGACCTGGTGAGCCGATCCAAAGAAACAAAACGTCACAGCAGAGGGACAACCCAATACAGGGCCGCCAAAGCCTCTGCTAGTAACGAACTACCGGTTAAAACACAGGACAACCGGTCCCACCAGGTCAAAGTTAGAAAAACTCAGCAAAAAACAAAGGCTAAGGAACAAAAATACCGCATGGCAGGCTGGAGAGAGAGGCTAACAGGTGGAAACCCAGCCTACTTATAGGAGGACTAATATCACCCAAATGAACATAATCGATATACAAAAGAAAAAAGAATCATCAAGAGTCTAAAGAATAAGTGATTCAACTAAGGTCTATGCAACGCTAGAAGGAAAAATAAATAATGTGCCCAACGCACATAACAATCAGTCCCAACAGCACAGATCCTGACCTCTGCTGAGCGATGATTCTCCAGCTTCCTAAGATTAGGACCAAACCACCAGTTCAGCTAAAACTGAGTCTTTTGAACACTTTAAGAATCTGTGCTCGGGTCTCCTTTCTTCTGCTCTAATTTATTCCCCCGACACAAGAAATTCATCCATTTGTTTTTGTTTTTTAATTAACCGATATGCAGATGAATCACCTGCTGTGATCGTACCTCATTGTTCTGTACAGCAGTTAAGACCTTCCAGACCTTTTCTCAGGAGCTTAAACCCAAATATCAAATATAAACTAAGGACTGGCCTCTGATCACCTGCTTAAAGTTGATAAAGGTGGTAAAACTTTAACCAAGCTGGACTGCTGTCCATCCGTGAATGAGAGACTGTGGGAAATGTAACTTAAGACTCAGCAATATTTCTTAATCCTGGATCAGGTCATCAGTAGTGTTGGAGCTATTTATTCTTTATTTCTTTATCCATTTGAATTGTGTTAATTCCTAAACTTATATATTTTTTGTATTATTTACTGACTTAATTTATAGGTTAATTGTTGCATTTTTGTGCATCTATTTTTTGTTGTTTTATTATTTTTTCTTTATTTATTTTATGTAAAACAGGAAGAAATGTGGGCGGTCCACTTTCTATAATTGTAGGAGCCTGGTAAGGACCAGCAGGCATTTGGGTTAGGGGCCTATGGGTTTTTACCAGTGCAAGAGAGGTAACAGAGCAAGGAAAGTGTGAACTCTGTAATGTGACAAAATATAGGAAATAAATCAACTAAACATCTACAAGTTTGGACTTCCACTTCTTTTGCCTGCGTCAAGAAAACGTGACCCCAGTGCCTATAGTGGCTTATTGGAATTTTATTGGATGTTTGGTTTGACAAACAATTGCCACTACAATCAAGTCTCTGGAAAACTTAACGACAGGACGCAGATTCAACCAATCAGCATTCACTTTAATGTTTCATCATCACATCACAATCAACAGGAGGTCACATGGTCACAAACAGGAAAACACTGTGGAATTACTACTTTCACAATAAGAGCATTTCTTCCAGCCAATCAGGCGTCCGGATCACAGCAGAGTTGTGAGACTCGTTCCGCAATTGGCTGGATTTAGCTGGAGACTTTTATTTATTTTTTTAATCGGGAAGCATTTAAAGCAACAAACAGGTTTTATTTTTTGAAAATATAAATACGTTGTAAACATAAGCACAGGAAATATAACATCGACAGATCCGGACCAAGCCCCGCCCCCCCTCGGGGCCTTGAACGTGGCTCCGCCCCCTTTTCAGCCGGCCACGCGATAGTTGGCGTGAACCTCCGGCTGGATGTCGCAGATGTGTCGCAGCAGCTCGTTCAGCACCTTCTCCCGGTTGCCGCGGTAACTGTCCTGGATACGAGCCATCCTCTCCACTGTGTCGCGATCAACCTCCACGGCGCTGTTACCATGGGAACCGAGAGCCTGGGAGGGGCAAAAAACAGACCGATGAGAAGGAGAAACAAAACTTTATGGCAGCTTTTTATTTGGTGTTCAATGCAAACAGCTGTAAACGTTATTTTACTGGGTGCTAGCAGCTTCATGTAGTTTACCAGAAAAACCAAACGTCTTTCTACTGGTTTAGCAAAAAAAGGAAGTAAGTTATATTTCACAATAAAGGATATTTTGTAGAGTAAAAGGCAACATTTCATCATATAAATGCCTGGAGTTCTTTATGAATAAACCTTTAAATGTCCAGATCACCACTGGGTTGGATTTAGCATGTCTGCTGGTGCTGGTTGGTGATTGGTCAGAGGAAGGAGGAGGAGGCGGCCTAGTGCTTAGTGCACAGAGCTTCGAATCATGAGGTTTTGAGTTCAAAGACTGCCACTCAGGGTCCTTGAGCCAGACCCTTGACCCCACACAATGGCAGCCCACTGCTTCCCAAGGTGATTGGTTAAATCAGGCATCCCCACAGTGGGATCTGGGGCCGCAGTCCTGCAGGTTTTAGAGGTTTCTCTGCTCCAGCGCAGCAGATTCACATTGATAGGTGATGAAGAGGCTTTTTCTGAACTGCAATCATCAGAATCAGCTGTGCTGAAGCAGAGAAACCTCTAAAACCTGCAGGACAACGGCCCCCCAGGACCCACTGCCTGGGTTAAATGCAGAGTGCATTTCGTTTCTCTATACTTGTGACAGTGTAATGACAATAAAAACTGGGGGGAAAACAAATTCAAATGAGGATCAGAGGAAAACCTAAGAAGGAACCAAGAAGCTTCAAATGAGGAGAAAGAGAGAAGGACCGGCGGACGAACAGAGGAGTAACTCACAGCAGCTTCCTTGGTCTTGAACTCCTTCTCCCTCTGCAGGCGGTACTGTTCAATCTCAGCCTGGGCCTCCTCCTTCGCCTGCTTCAGACGCCGGTTCTTACCTGCAGAAACACATGAAACACTGATAACAACCAGATCAACCCCAACAGGACAAGACTGGGATCTAGTTCAGCCTGACAATGTGTTCTGAGGATCTCTGAAGTTTAGATTTATAAAATGTGTATAAAATAAAGTCCTTCAATGTCTTTTAAGCAGCAGGAAGGACACAGGAACATTTTTCTGGTTTATTAATTGTTCCAATAAACTCCTTTTCATACAAACAGTTTATATTCCAGTCCATTTATCAGATGAATTATGGGCTTTATTCATCCTTAGGTGATAAAGAATGGTACGATGGAGTATTAGGGCAAGGCTAGTATTAGGGCTAGGTTTCTATTGAAAATAAAGTTGTAACATTATGAGAATAAAGTCAGAAAAATACTAGAATAAAGTTATATTATGACGACTCTTATAAGAAGCACCGTCTTCCCTAAAATGAGGAATGTGGAGAATTATGGGAAGTTATACTTTGGCTTCAGTTTGACAAATAAGGAAATCTTTTAGCACACCCGCTTTTCATAATATTATGACTTTATTCTTGTAAAGTTGCGGCTTTATTCTCGTAGTTTTATTTTATTTTTTCACCTTTATTTTACCAGGAAGTCCCTTGAGATAAAATCTCTTTTTCGAGGGAGACCTGGCCAAGAGGCAGCAGTACAGTAAGACATAAGAACACAGGACAACATAATAATATCAATCATAAACTAGACTTTATGACTTTATACCCGAAAAAAAAAATAAAATACTCCGTTGTAGAATTGAGCTAAATTTGATCAATAGAAATTCAAAATCAATCAAAATTAAAGGAAATAGGAAAAAAAAAGATCTAAAACTAAAAAAAAAAAAATAAAAGTGAAAAAAGATTTGTAAATAAAATAAATGTTTAAAACTACTTTTCACTTTAATTTTTAAGTTACATTAAAAAAAACAAAACTAAAAATATATATCAGTTTCAGAGCAACACTAAGAAACTTTTCAACCTTCATAAAATAATTTGATAACTTTTGTGATTATACTAGTTGAAAGACGTCTCTGCCATGGCCTGAGGAGGTCTGTATCGCCTTAAACCAACACTAAGCACCTTTAAGGAGGGCAGCAGTAACACAAACCAACTATAAATATGCAGACTGCTTTAAGGCAGTTTGCATATTCATGCAAAGTGTTCACAGCTGATATTCAGCCAATGATGCACCTTCCTTCCCGCTGGGATTAATCCGTTTATTGTGAAATTATCTAACATAACATTATTATTACCCCGTTTACATCACCCCTCTGAAACCGATCCA